TAACAATTCTGTTAAAGATTTAGTGTTTGAAATGACAGTCCTGTTGCATGACCCAAACAACAAAAGGCCTCACATCTGATTATTTAGATTGGAGATAAGATTAAAGATCAACTCAACAACTGCAAGATGTCCATGTCTGTTTCTGTGCTCTCAACCACCAATCAGAACAGGTATATGTTGTTCAAAATGTATGTTTTTAACACCAGCAGGATCTAGTTTTAAATTGTATGTTTTCTGTTTTTAAACTGTTTTTATTTCCACTTTTATTATGTTGTGTTTTAATGTACAGCACTTTGTGTCAGCCATGGTTGTTTTAAGGTGCTTTATAAATAAAGTTGGTATGGTATGGTATGGTATGGTATTATGATGTCGGGTTTTTTTGTTTTGTTTTTTCAAATGTAGTTTGGTGCATAGCCTATACAATTTGGGCTTATCTGCTAAAATAAGATTGCTCCAGAGGTCTTTGCTCAAGTTTTGTAAGGCTAAGTTTTGTGTAAAAAAAAAAAAAAAAAAGATTTTCTCCTGGCAACACTTCCAAAAATGTCTTGCCATTTAGCCACTACTTTTACTGTCACAAACTTTTTAATTTAACTTGCTTGCTAGATTTTTACTGACAATTCTTTGACCACTGCCCAGCCAAACCTGAAGTGGACTTGGAGAGAACTCCTGGAAAATAATATGACTGTTTTCCATTTGTAAATTATATGTGAATGTTGCAGAATGATTAGCTCTAAATTGTTTGGCAACACCTCTACAACTATTTCTAAACTGATGGGCAGCAACAAATACCTTTTTAATTGTTGATGTCTCTTTTTTGAATTGTGTGAACACTCAACTGCTTAACTGTGTAACTGTATTTTTAGTTAACATTTTTCTTAGTTCATATCTTAGATCTTATTACTGCTTTTCTTTTACATTTTAATACTTTTGTTGGATGTAACTGGGACCCTGTGTACACAATGTCATTCCAATATGACAAAGAACCTGGAAACTGAAAGGAAAAGCATCAAAACGTGCTGTCAGAGTTAGATGGCTGGTCAATCAAGAGCATTGGCGCTAAATAACAACACAGCACACTCTGTGCTTCTTCTGAGATTATAATTTTAAATCAGATTATCCTAAAATGAACTAAAAGAGGATGCACTTACTTTTATACATTACTGTATGCCTTGCTTCAGGGAATTTATTTTGAATATTTGTTCTGAATCCATGTTTTATTTTTTGCCTCCCACAATGTTGGCTCTCTTGCTGCTGCAAAAATAAAGTTCTTGTCATGTTTTTGTTGAAGCTTGTCATAACAGAACTTGTCCTCCTCAGTCAGGGCTAGGTTTCCCATAGCATGTACAGGTAATACAAGAAATGACTGTTTGTATACTGGACAGGTAATACAAAAAGTGTAAAAATTGACTTTTGTAGGTGAAAGTCGTTCATTTAAAAACATATAATTCAATTCAATTTTCAACTCAATTCAATTTATTTATATAGCGCCAAGTCACAACAGAAGTCATCTCATGGCACTGAACAGAAACATTCATATATAAAAAATAATAAGTTAACAAAAACAGTCATAAAAACAATAATTTAACACTATTTATCTGAGGAGCAGACTGCTTTGAATTTAACTCCATCACAGAACTCTCATCTTGAGCAAGCATGAAGGCGACATTGGAAAGGAAAAACTCCCTCATGAGGAAGAAACCTTTAGCAGAACCAGCCTCAGGACAAGAGGCCATCTGCTTCGACCGACTGGGTTTGGTAGGAACAGATACACAATGGCAGGTGAAGAATCACGTTAAGATAGAAATAGTATCAAATGAAAATTATTCAATTTTAATAATTAATTTAACAAAAATTAGGTCATTTTGTCCTCCAGTAATCTAAGCTTAAGGCAGCATAACAAGCCAAACCTAACTATAGGATTTATCAAAAAGGAAAGTCTCTAGGGACCACGAGTAAGCCTGCTGAGAGCGAAGTGCTCTGTTAGGAAAATATGGAACAATAAGATTGTGACTATAAGATGGAGCTAGGTTGTTGAGAGCTTTGTAGGTTAGAAGTAAGATTTTGAATTCAATTCTATATAACAATTTTATATTTAAAAATTTTCAATTTTATATAGCACACCACGCTTTTCTATTGTTTTGTATCTACTGTATTTTCCCCCTTGCAATTGTAACCTTAAAGTTTTTTTATTTAATGTTATATAAAGGAAGAAACCGGTAAAGATAATGGGTGGATGGATTTTAGATAACTATTAAACAGTGTAGTGCAAGTTTTTTAACACGTGGACAAGTGAAGATAAGAAGTGTTGGTAACAAGATGCCAAAACATTAAATTTAAAATTGTTTCCTCATGACAACACTGGGTCATCTTAAGTCATTTTTGTGGCTTAACAAACAAAACAATCCCTTCAAAAAGGTCTGACACTGGCCTAAATAAAATAGTGAAAAAGTCTACAATAAAAAAAAATTGAGACAGAAGAAATACTGATCAAGACTTTAAGAGATTACAGAAAAAATATGCACACTTAAAAAATAGGGATGGTGTTATCATATTGCCTTGGCAGCCGGTTGACCCCTCAGTTATAAATGCAAATGCAATGATCATTTTGTGAGTTTCATTAAAATCTGTCAATTTCATGTGAGATCTTATTAACAAACAAAATTGACTCCAATAAACAAATATACTGTATCTTGTGCAATGCATAGTGCGTCGAGTTTGCGTTAAGGATGACTCTCAACTACAACCACAAATTATTGATATCTGTAAAATCAGCTGAAATAAAGCCAGTTTTGTGTTTTATAAGGTCAGTTATGTGGTGGCTATCTTGAACTGGATTGCATTTAAAAGATATTCAGTTGTAGACACATAATGATTATTTCCTGAAAGTTAACAGACAGATAAACACTATAGTAAATCCAATTAAACAACATATTTCTCATGGTCTCCCCATAGTTTTCTTAGACTTGTCCAAAGCCATTGACACTGTGGATCATGACATCTTGTGTCATATAAGCTATCAGAAATTGGTTTCTCAGATCATACCATTGGCTGGTTCTCCAATTACCTTTCAGATCGGAGGTAATGTGTTCAACTTAATGGTATTTCTTCCAGTTATCTAACAGTTAGTAATGGTGTACCACAAGGCTCAGTCTTAGGACCCACCCTCTTTACAATCTACATAGGTAATGTAGGTCAAAGCATCCCTGATGCATCCCTACATTTCTATGCTGATGACACAGTTGTTTATTGTCGAGCTAAAACAGTTGCTAAGGCCCTCCAGCTTTTGCAATCCGCCTTTGACATCATCCAGTCAAATTTGTTCCGTTTCAAACTTGTCCTAAATGCCGATAAAACCAAAGGGTTGTTTTTTTTTCAAACAGGAAGTCAGTCCCATCAGTTCTTCCTCTGATTTTATCCTCAAACGGTGTCCCCGTTGAGTTTGTCAATTCTTATAATATTTGGGTATCTTGGTCGACTTGCATCTCTCCTTTAAGTTTCACGTGGAAAACCTAGTAAGAAAACTGAAAGTTAAATTGGGTTTCTTTTTCAGATCCTGTCTAACTCTGAACGCTAGGAAACGCTAGGAAACGCCTTGTAACTGCGACTTTCCTTCCCTCCATTGACTACGGTGACATTATCTATATGCACGCTCCTACAAGCACTCTGCAGGTGCTGGATGCTGCCTATCACGGTGCATTATTCATAACTGGCTGCAACTACCATACCCATCATTGCACCCTGTGTTCACTGGTTAACTGGTCATCATTAACTTCATGCAGACTCTCTCACTGGTACATTTTCCTCTTTAAATCACTTCTCAGTCTGCTGCCTTCATACATCTCCTCCTACATGTCTGCACGAGTGCAGCTACAGCGTGCGCTCTCAGGACATTACATGTAGTGTTCCCTCAGTGAGGACTGAAATGGGCGAAAAGGCCTTCTCCTACTCCGCTCCTGTTTCCTGGACTATCTTGCAAAAAGACCTGAAGCTCTCAACCTTAACCTCTCAAAGTGACTTTAAACATCTGTTAAGTTCCTGGCAAAAACCAATGCAAACATGTTCCTGTTGTTAATTTTCTAAATTGCCTTATAATCTAGCTGTTTTTTGCTACTATTCCTCTTTATTGTCCTTTTGTGTTGCATTTTGTTTTGTTAAAAAAAATAGAGAAACTTAAATTTGTATGCCTAAGCCTGTTTTATGACTGTCTGTTGTTGTCGATGTTACGCACTGTTGTCATCACTCTTTGTTAAGAAATCAGGTCTCTCTTGTAAATGAGTCCTCGAGGCTCAATGGGATTAACCTGTCTAAATAAAGGTTGAATTAATGAATAGTTGAGTGATCTAATTCTTTTAATGACTGGTTTGATTTAAATGGGTATCGTAGGTTGACTTTGATTGAATACAAACAGGTGGGGAGTAGTTATTAGGTTATTTAGCCACGAAAAACGAGCATTTCTCGCCATGATAATAACAATAATAAGACGTGGTGCAGCCACAGTGGGTGGAAAGAGCGCGAGGGAGGAAAGGAGGGAGGGAAGAGCGCGCGCGAGGATGCTCCTTGAGCCCGGACGTTGGCTGCTGCTCCTCAGACTCTCAGGAGGCAGCGATGGAGACAGGATGAACCTGGCGCGGAGTTTTTCTCACGAAGGAGCCTCTGGGGGGTTCGTAATCCGGCGGTGTTGTTGCCTGAACCGTCTGTTTCGGGGAAGGAGGTACAGAGCGCGTTACCTTTGCTCGGATGACTACTTTCACTTCTTCTCTACCGAAGCTAACCAATTCTTAGCATGTTCGTGGTGTTCCCTTTTCCACACGTAAAAATAAATAAATGTTAAATTAAGCCTGCTGCTGTTAGCGGAAGATGTCGGCGCGTCGTTCTTTGTTTTTTGTTGCGCAGCGGCGCTTGGATATTCCCAAACCTGTGGCCACCTTCAGCGCCTCAGACAACTCGATACAAGATTTTGATCGTCGTTATTTTTTTGGCGTTCCGCTCCACTGCGCATGCCCAGTGGTGTCGGAGATCTAGCCCGCCGCCCGACGCCACTTCGTCTTGTCCTGGTTGTGATGTAGCAGCGGAAAGAAAAGTGGAGACAGAGCCGGGGGACCGAATGAAGATGTTCCAGGTAAAGTGGGATCGTGGCCACCAAGGGATTTGACGAAATATCCTCCGCGGGAAGCAAAAAACAACCCAGACTGTGCCACAAACTGAATAATGTCAGGGACACCAAATGCGGAGGCAGAAGGAGTAGTCTCCAAAGTGCAAGTGAAAAAGGAGATCAAGACAATCGTGGAGAATTTGGAAAATATCCTGGGAGACCTTAAGGACGTCGCCAAAGAGCTGAAAGAGGTAAAATGTCATGAAACACGCACTGTCTTATGTTCCTTTTTATATGATGCTCTCCATATGCGTTTGTTTGGTTTGTGAGAATGGGAGACTGACATCCATCTCACTGTGGCCTGGAGATGGCTCACACTCACTGTGCTCCACCTCCGTCCTCCCTTAATATATATGATCATTATCTCCAACATGAAAGACATTTGGCACAGGAGGATGTGAGGTGTGAAATGGCAGGACAGCTTCTTCCCTCCTTGACTCACAAGCCATGATGAAAGTGAGAAAAATGTAATTCCAATTAATATTTAATGGACAAGTTGGTTCAACCAGGAATGTGCTTTTGCATTGCGTTTCATCATCTAAATGCAGGTTGATGTTTTGCTGCAAATTATCTCTCACCAAACTACAGAGAGATGGTCATTTCTCTTTTTTATTATTATTTTTTTTTAAAACTTGCATTAAATTATGGCAGCCAGTCATCAACCCTTCCTTCTGTTGCAGCTGCGACTTCTCCTGTCGCTCTTGTTGAAGATCAAAACTCTCAGAGCTGTCTGGCCATTTAAAACTCGGTGATGCACAGATGGAGAGTCAGCGGAGGCGCATGTGTTGGTCGGGGGATATTTTAGAGATTTGAACAGCAAGTTTTATCCCTAAAAGAGCACCTCTATGACACGTTTTTAATGTACACATTGCAACCACTTCAAATCAGTGCATTATCTATGTATTTCAGCCACATTTCTTTAGAAAATTCAGTCTTGCTCCTATGTTTACACTCCTCTACAGCAGGCGTTCATGCTGCTGTCTCAAACCTTTCACCTTAACATGACAAGTAGTCAGTCTAATGAAATCTTATTGCATACAGCCTCTGCTTCCTACATTATGGATGGGTAGTGCACACAGCATCTGTCTCCTGCCTTGTTGCCTCCCTTGTCTGCTTCTTTTCTTTCTTCCTTACAATGTGAGCTTTACGGTACTCTTTACTATGAAATCAAAAATAAAGAAGCCATCCAGAACTACATCAAGTGGTGCTGTTTGAAAGACGCCAGTAGTTTTACAGTTATATTAATATGCAGTTCTGAAACTTGGCTACACGCTCCATGCAAACAAAGCACTCGCCTGAATCTGCCAAATATCAAGTGAAAGCTTGAGTCACATGACCTACCTACATTTGGTAGGCTCCCAACGTGTGTAGGTAAACAAATATCTCAAACAAACAAATATAAATAATAAATAGAATATCGGAGAAGACAATCAGGTGGATATATGAGTGAATCAGCTGCTAAACGCAAAAGAAAAGAGAAAGATGGGGTAAGACAACTGTTAACAATAAACATGCAGGTTCAAGCTCGGCACGCAAACACACATGCTCTTGCAAAACTTGGGTAAGTTTACGGCTTCAACCTAAGTATTTTTTTTTGTCTGCATACGTAACTCGACAATCTAAGCGTAAATATGTGCCAACACATCAAACTCATCTCATTTCTCCATCCCAAATGGCTCTTTCCTATTGTTGACCTATTTTCAGTCACTGCACTACTTTTTTCTCAAACGCCTGTGGTAGCTGGTAGTCATTTGTAAACTGTGCCTACAAATTCCTATGTGAAGGGCATATTAACCATTAAACTTTTTAATTTAATTTATTTATTTATTGACCAATTTTCGTGACATTGCAGTGAGTGCAGCTTTTGTATTGTTCAGCTGTTTACCATCCATCATAGAAGGCATCAGGGTTAAACCACGACAAGAGGGCATCATAATTTGTCTATTGTAATCGTCTTCACATGTGGCCTCTTTCTCCATCTTTCTTGTTTCTTTTATTATTTTATTCTTTGCTCGCAGGAAATTGTACAGAGGATCAGTTATTCTGACACAGCTAACACATTAAAAAGAAGCCTCGAGGGGGTGTTACTATCAAAGCCAGTGTTTGGGCCTAATCCGTTTGAAACGCAGTTATCTGTTAGAACTCACAGAGAGGGTTGGAGCTGAGTCCGGCTCTCAGTCTGGATCCTGCTCAGATGCTTGGCACAGCCACCCAAGCTGTGTGGCCTACAGCAGGGGCTGCAGACTGGGATACTGGTAATACCTCGTGTGTGTGTTCCAACAAATTATCCATTTAAAGACTGCACGGAGAGTTTTGCTCTCTGCCTTCTCTGTTAGCTTTCTTCTCAGTCATTCTGTATTTTCTTTCTCCGATACTCGCTCATTTTCTTTCCTTACCTCTTCTGAAGCCACTGTTTGAGCATCTATTTAAACCTTTTTTGGGTTTTAAAATATCCATCCATTATTTTTACCCACTTCTTCCTTTTTGGATTGCAGGGGTTACTGGTGCCCATATCCAGTAATCACTGTGCGAGGGGCAGGGGACACCTTGGACAGGTTGCAACTAGTCCATCACTGGGCCACACAGAGACAAACAACCATTCACTGTCGCTCACACCTAGGGACAATTTAGAGTTACAAGCAGCCTAACATGCATGCTTTTGGCTTGTGGGAGGTAACTGGAGTACCAGGAGAAAATCCACGCATGCACGGAGAGAACATGCAAACTCCACCCAGAAAGGTCCCGGGCCGGGATTTGAACTGGTGACCTTGCTGAGAGGCAATAACTCTACAAACAGTGCCGCTGTGCCACCCAGCTAACTAACATTAGAAAACAAAAATCTTGCAGACATGCTAACATTTAGTACTGTACTGTATTCTTATAGCTGAAAGTCATTCACAACATGTTTCAAGTACTACTCATTGTGCTAGTTCATTTTATTATTATTATTTTTTTTAATTTTAGCATTAAAATATACATCAGTTCATGAAATTCCAGGCTTTTCTTTCCCCCAAAAGAAACGTTTCAGCCATAAAAACATAGACTTTCTCTGTTCAAGTTATTTTAGACTTTCTGGTTCCTCAATAGTCAGACAGCAATTAATAAAATGTCCAACTCTTCAGTTCTGGGCATCAAAGAAAACCAGGAAGGATCTCTCCTCCAAAGGGAATATTCTGGACAGACTTGTTAAAATGGCTACAGAACACAGGCATCATGTTACTGAATGTAACTTTTAACTTCCCAGAATATGTTGACACTATTATTAAATGTAATCCACTGTACTTGGACTGTGTTTATGTATAAGTAGGGAGAATGTACACACCTATACACCCCATGAATGGATGGATTGGATCGGATTGATGAGAAAAAAATAATTTATTTATCATGACTGGGAGGATTCTTTTGTTCCGTAAGCTTTGTTTTTACTGGGAGAGTATAGTTGTGCAATTGCAATTTTGTATGAAATTCCAGCACCACTTAGTGCCAACAAATCACATTTCTGCCCAAACAATCATAAATAGTTTGTCTGCAAGCTATGAGCACATAATTAATTACCTGGCACTAAAATGGTTGTATATTTCTCTCATGTGTTCCAATAAAACCTGATGTAAATTTATGTTGCCCTTTTAGAGCATCTTCAACAAATTTTCTGCTCTAACTTTTTATTCATCACCCCCCCCCCCCCCATAACTGTATTGTGCAATGTACTGTAAATTATTTAAATTTTCAGGATAATAGATTTACTCTGCTACTTAGCCTTTCTGTGTGACAGTTTTTCAGTAGAACATTTGTTATTATTTGTTTTTCCTATTCTCCAGTCTGTCCTGAAGCACTGGTTTTATGTAATAAATGTTTTTTTAAGTGCCTTGCCTTTACAAGATAAATTTAAAGATGTTAAAGTAGTAATGGTGGATGTGATTGTTGCAGTATATTACTTATGTCAGAATTGGTCAGATTCGTGATTTATAAATTGTACAACCACAATTCCAAAGAAGTTGGGATGTTTTGTAAATGTAAGTAAAACAAAATGAAATGATTTGGAAATCTCATAAACCCATATTTTGTTTGCAATAGAACAAATTCAACATGTCAAATGTTTCAACTAGGAAATTGTGCTATTTTTTGTGGGGGAAATGGTAATTTTGAATGTGATGGTCGCAACATGTCTGAAAACAGGTGAGACAGGGCAACAAAAAGCTATGCAAATAAGGGGTATGAATAAAATCAGCAGAAGAAGCATTTTGCATCTAATTACTGATAGGTTAATTAGGTCAGTTAGAGAACGGGGTATTAAAAAAAGCATTTTAGTGGCAAAATCTCAGAAGTAAAGATGGGCAGAGGTTCACCGGTTTTCAGAAACTGTCATAAATAAGTGAAACAATTTCAGAATAATGGTCCTCAACAGAAAATAGGGAAGATTTTGGATATCCCATCATCTACAGTTCATAATATCTAAAGATTTCATGAACATGAATGATCTCTGAGCTCAAGGACAAAACTGAAAGCCAACATTGGATGCCCAGGATTTTTGTGCCCTCAGGCAGGCCTGCATTAAAAACAGGTTTGATTCTACTGCACGGGTTCAGGAACACTTCCACAAATCACTTTCTGTGAACACGGTTTGCTGTGCCAGCCAGAAATGCTGGTTAAAGCTCTATCATGCAAACAAGAAGACAAATGTGAACACCATCAAGACATGCTGTCGTTTGCTATAGGCCAAAGATCATTTAAAATGGACTGAGCCAAAGCAAAAAACCTGTTTTGTGGTCAGATAATAATCTGAAGCTCATTTTGGAAACTACAGTCATGTCCTCTGTATTAAAGAGAAGACAGACTCCAACATGTTTTCACCCTACGCTTCAAAGAACTGCCTCTGATGGTTATTTAGTTCTATGGCATGGGCTGCTTTTATATCTAGAATTGCACCATCAGTGCAGAAAACTCTACAGGTTTTAGAACAACATCCTTATGCTCCTTCTCGGGCCTTGCGATCATCTGACCTGCTGCTTTTGGTGGTACCAAAAACCAAGCTCAGAGGAGATCGGGCGTTTTCAGTCATGGGCCCTAAACTCTGGAATAATCTGCCCATCAACATTCGACAGGCCACCTCAGTCTCCGCTTTTAAAACTTTCCTAAAAACAGCTATACTCATGGACATTTATCACAGGGTGATCGGATTTAGAGTTAGAATTTCATTGATTCTGATTCTGTTCGTGCTTTTTGTTCTTTGATTTTTGACACAGGACAATCTGATTTAGAATTTCATTGTTTCTAATTATGTTTTCTGTTTTATATTTTTATTCCATTGTGCTGTAAATATATCTCGTTACTTTTAATTTGATGCTGTGATTTTTTTTGTTAAGCACTTTGGTAAGAGTTTCTGTTTTAAATGTGCTCTATAAATAAATTTGACTTGACTCGACAATACATTTTTTCTCCCATCCAAAGCATAAACTCCAAATCTTCTTTTCTTTTGGATTTTCCCCTTCAGGGTTGCCACAGCAAGTCATCCAAACCAAGGACAGCTGATTCTAGTTGTTGAACAGCTGGATTTCTACATCAGACAAGAATGGGACAAAGTTCCCCTCCAAAAACTGCAGCTCTCTTCCTTCCTAGATGTTTACATGAAGTTGTTAAAAGAAGCGGGGATGCTTCACAGTGAATAATTTGCCCCTGCTCCAACATTTGTTTAGATGTGTTGCTGCCATAATAAAAAATAAAAAATAAAAGAAATTGTAGATTTTTTTTGTTCCAACAGTTGACATTTTTACTGTTCTATTGTGAATAAAATATGGATTCACAAAACATGCAAACCATTGCAATTTCTTTTTATTTACGTGTTACATAAAATCCTATTTTATTTCCAGGGTTTGGGTTGTATAAATGTACCATAATTATTTTACATTAATGTAGTTAAAATATGTTGTATTTTTATCAATCTGGATAGTAATCTGGAATGTTCCATTTAATTTTTTATATGAAAAAGCATAAAAACAGCCGTTCCTGAAAATAAAATCATTGTTTCATGATGCTTTGCACATCCCTGCTTGTTTTCTTCCTACACATGTAACAGCAGCTGCTTATTAATTATTTTGTTTTTCAAACGTTGTTTGGGATATTTCATTCTCTCATGCCCCTTTGTCACATAATTAACCCAGACCTCTGCTCTTCCTCTGTTACCAGGTTGTTCATGAGATCGACACCCTGACTGGTGACCTGCAACTGGAGGAGGACGGACTGACAGACAGCTCAAAGACAGACACGCTGAACTCCAGCTCAAGCTCCACCACCACTACCACAACTGCATCAAGCTTGGAGAAGATGAAGGTTTTCCCTGATGACTGCATCTTTAAAACACAAGTGCCCCTCAGTCCAGTCCTTGTCAACCCTTCCTCAGCCCTGACTGTACTCAAGAGGTCCCACCCACCCCTGCCACCACCAAGACTAACTTCGATGAGAGCAGAGGACCACAACATTAGGAATTTGCCTCATCCAACTTTCGTCCTGTCGGGGAATATATCCAAGTCAAATGGGTCTTTAATCAGGAACGGCGGGGTTTTCCCACTGAAAACAAGCAAGGATTTATTCTCCTCCACGCCGTGCTTCATTACTGGGGAGAGCGAAATTTCTGAATCAGGTCTCGTTCCTACATTGCCAAGACCCATGCCGCTTCTCCGCCATGAAAAAAGCAAATGCCCCAAGGCCCCCAGCAGGGAGCCTCGCGAGAGAGTCCGCTTCAGCGAGAAGGTCCAGTACCATGGATACTGCCCAGACTGTGACCTCCAATATGACGTGGATGACACGGAACTACACCTACAGGCTGAACTGAGTGACTTAAGGCTCAGTCCTGTGCATTGCTGCTCATCCTCCTCCCCGCCTCCTTCTCATGTTCTTCCTCATCAACTGATGTTGGAAAACGGAGGGCTCTCAGTCAGCCACAGTTTCCCGCCGACAACAAACACTCTTCCACCTTGTGTGGTTCCTCACACACCCTCGCTAAAGCCCCATAAAACAATTCTGCGTAAATCAACCACCACCACAGTTTGACACCAAACACCCCTGTTATGTCTTTACTTAAACATTCTTGAATCATTAATAGTGTTTTCTACTCCAGTTGAACTTTGGATTATCCAAACAGAGAGTGGAGTGGCTGGGAAGTAGAAAACAAAAGGATGGAGAAAATAGGCGGAATGAAGGAGAAAAGCATCGCCGCAGGCGCTGAGACGTAAACAGTGGAGATCAGGAAGAAGCGGTGAGTGTTTGTGCATGTATGATTGTGTTTGTCAGGAAGAGAGAAAGGGAGGAAGAGCAAGTGCATGCGGCTCTGATGCATTGCTGTTTGTCATGTGGAGACATGTCTATAAAGCTGTGAAAGTGTGTGTCCCTTACAGTTAATAATAAATGACAGAAAAATACGCTGAACGTTAGGAAGATGATTGACAACAGTACAACTGTGTTTGTGTCACTCTGGAAGTTCTTGTTACAGATGAATCTCAAATTCAGGAACTTGTTTCTCAGAAGAAGCTGTGATTAATTTATGTTATTCTGGGATCCTGCTTTACTCAGTCCTCATCCGAAGCCTCAAAGATCTACCCATACACTGACACCTACATACTGTAAAATGGCTATATTTTACAAAAATTCAGAGAGTGTGTTACCAGGGTGTTACCATATACAGGTGGATGTGTTTTTTAATTTAATACACGCCTAAATGCACAGTTAGGTGCAAGTGAGTTTCGACTCACTCTTTCCTCATTATTTTCCAGTCTAAGTCCCATTTTGTTGATGTATGAGTGAGAGTGTAGGAGTGAAAAAGATAATGAAAAGAGAGTGCCATGGTGGACTGAGGAAGAGAGGTCTTCTTGATGACGTACAGTCTTCTGGATTTGAGGGCTGAATGTCTTTACAGCAAAGTCTAATAGAAAAAGCATGCGCTTTTATTTTTCCTTTCTTTGAAAGTCCTCCACCCCTTGCTAATGCTATGCCACCCCACTGTGACAACAATATGAGTAAAATGAGCAGTAAGCCTATCAGTTCTGCCCTTGAATCAAGATAAGCTGAAAACGTGCTGCACTTATATGTCTTTAAAGAAATATAAATCAGCATTTATATCGTTACATCGCAGCCTACATTCAGAGTTTCCACTTTATCCGCTTCTATTAGGAAGCGTAATTAATAATGCTTGAGTTTCCAATGTGTGCGAGTAGATAATCATTTTCAAACTGAGTGTCAAGGAACTGTGTGTGTGTGTTCCTGTGAGGTTTGTATAAGCGTTCAAAGAAGCGCATGTCCGCTTGGCAGACTCAGGGAGACAGCATACCCTAGAGTTAGATGAGAATAGTGGCACCTTCCTCAGAGCAATGCCCTTAATTAACTGTATTAAACAACAGAAGATAACAGCCTGCCTTTGTACCAACCTTTGTTCCAAGCTTTGCCTTAACAAAGCTCAGAACTACTGCCACATGTCTTATTTCTGATAAACACAGACGAGAAAGAAAGACAGAAGAAAAGGAGGAGCAAGTCAAAGATGTGCAAGGGGGCAGTTTATGTGGGCTCAAGGAGTGGGAGGTTTTAAAAACATTACATTTAAATTGCACGTTAGAGTTTAGTGGGTGGGAGGTTTGAATGTTACGACAGAAAATCAGGTTTAAAATAACACTCGCTAATCTAATGCATGACCTCGCTGGACTTCCAATCTAAAATCGGCATGTGGATTAGGGCTCAGTAGATATTCAGCCATGACAAAAACGAGAAATTGGATTGGGCTAGTGGGAGCCAGCAGAGTGTGGGACTGAGAGAAAGAGGCAGGAGAAAAAGGGAGTCAGTGATGTGAGGGGGGGTTGTTAGTTTTCTTGAAGATTGCTCGGTTAAAAAAAAACAACCTCTATTCATCTTGTATTAGTGGATCCTAATGAGTCTGGCCACAGCAGCACACGCACATACACATTAGTGCTGAACAGAGTAGATTACAGCCAATGACATAAATATACGCTGTTCTTGAGAGCTTCTCTATAATGGCACGCCACTAACTGCTAATACACCATTTATTAAACTAAGGAAATCGACACAAACAAACTGTAATTGTATGATTAAAAACACATTTAAAAGTAAGGGTGTCTTCATCTTTACCTTTGGTTTGTCCAAATGTTCCCATTCCAACATACAGAAGTTATTATAGCCTACCGCCAAAAGACGAATGGGGACAATAATGTCATGGTTGGGGGTTGTTGAGAACCAAAGTGCAGACAGATCGTTGGTTACGTACTGTAACCCCAGATTCTATGAGTATAAGCGTAGCCCTTTAAGGCCTTCGCTTTAGTGGGTTTATCCCGTTATGCAGAGCATAAGCACTGAAAAAATTAGTCCACGCCCACCTGCTGTGTGGGCCCCACCCGGTCCGTATAAATAACGTTAAGAGCGGGAAATCGGCTCCCAAAATAGCTTTTTCTTCAGCCATTTAGGAGCCAGTGAGGCCCGACGCTTAAAGGGCTACGCTTATACTCATAGAATCTGGGGTTACAGTACGTAACCAACGTTCTATGTCGTATAAGCTTCGCCCTTTAAGGCCTTCGCTTTAGTGGGTAAAGGGCGAAGCCGATGTGGTCCTCGCCTCACTGGGTCCATTCGAACACAGTAAGAAGCGGAAGCTTGCCCAAAAAACGTCTTGTCACTCAGCTCCCCGTGTGTATAAACTACGCATCGCGTAATTATGTGCCATGCACAGACGCATGTTGAGTAACTATGCGTTCTGACAAAGCATGAATGCCCCGGAAAAACTTTCAACGGGAAGAAGAAGTTGAAAAGGGGGGGGGGGGGGCATGAACCAACTGGTTCATGGTTGAACAGTATAAACAGATTAATGTCCATGAATTGATTATTGATCAAATGAACTGATTGGTAACAATAGTCATGAACTGATTAGTGACAATAAAACCAAAATCACAGACACGACTTGTGACTGATAACAACATCTCACACTGTAATGCATGCAGACAGAAGTGAGCTTAAACAGAGTTCCATGAGAACAACAATATTCATTCTGTTAGAGCACTAAGGACAGAATGTGTCATGGAACGAGCCGTCACATCACGTAGGTAAAAGCGAATAAATGAGCAGGGTGTTGACCATGCAGCCGCATTTCAAACGTCCTGCATTGACATACCATAATGCAGAGCAGTCGAAGATGCGATACCCCTGGTGGAGTGTGCTTTGAGGTTGACAGGAGGCCCTAAATCTGATGCTCTGTAGGCTTCAGAAAAGGCCTCACACAGCCAGTGTGACAAGCGCTGGATGGATAACGGGCGACCTGCAGATGCATCTCTATAATGCACAAACAATTGTTGAGTTTGAAACGCATTGCAGCTGTGCGCGCTATGTAACACGTCAACGCCCGCACCGGACAGAGAAGATGAAGAGATGCTTCTTCTTCTGATCTGTGAGGGGGGGGGGGGACCCCTCCAACGATATCGCTCTTGATTTAAAAGAGCTTGTGATGATTTTAGGCATAAAAGCTGGATTGGTCTTAAATCAGCTTAACTACCGTCAGCCTGGATTCTGAGATATGACGGAGCGACAAAGAAGGCAGATAAAAACACTCACTCTCTTAGCGGGTGTTAAAACCAGCAGCAGTGCTGTTTAAAGAGACAAGAATTTAAGTGGAACCTGATCCAAAGGCTCAAATGAAGCTTTGATCATGACCTGCAGGACCAGTATTAAATCCCACTGGAAACAATTGGGTGTGGGACAGACCTGCGTCTCTGTACACCTTTAGAAAACGTTTCATCAGAGGATGATAAAACCTGTTCTGTCTCAGAAACCTTCATGTCAGGAAGAGATGGCTGCAGCGTATGTTTTAAACGTGCTGGATGCAGATATCTATCCATCAGCTGCTGCAGAAAGAACAGCATGCCACCTAAAGAACATGAGGAGGCCTCTACATCCTTCTCTGTACGTCAGCACTGAAAAGCTGTCCACTTTGATGTGTACATCGCTGTGGTAGATGCAACACGTGAAGCCTGAATTGTGCGCATTACATCCTGTGGGCAACCCGTCCTCTGTAAGAGGATTTGTTCAACGGCCAGACCACAGGTGCTGGCCTATTTCTGGGTAACTCCTGATCGCTCCTCCTGCTTGAAGGAGAGCATCCTCCCTCCATGGCAGTTCCCACGGGCACTCCGACAGCAGACGTTTCAGGACTGGAACTATGGTGCACCCACGCGCACGGGGCCACCAGGAGAACTATCAATCCCTCCTCCTGAGCTCGGTTCAAGAACCGTAAGATAGGAGGGGGTGGAGAGAAACGCATACAGAAGCGTTTTGGGCCATGGACTGTGAACAAACGCATCCACCCCCAGAGGTGGTTCGTCTCATGGGCTCAGAGAAGCGCGTAATTGACACTGAGCGTTTCCCGTGTCACAACAGGCCCACAGCCGCTATATCAATCTGAGACAAATTGCTCCATCAGAGGATGATAGAAGTTGTTCAGTCTACGACAACTTTGAGACAGGAAGAAAACACGGTGGCAGCATACAATAGTCGTGCTGGACACCAGATTTTTGTCCCTTGCCTGCTGCAGAAGGACAGCATGTCGTCCAATGGACATGAGGTGGCCTCTACGCCTTTCTATACAGCAGCGTTGATCAAACAGACCACTTGGTGTGAACAGCGCTGTGGTGGGTGCAGCACGTGACTCCTGAGTCGTACGCACTACATCTTGAGAGATCCATCCTCCCAAAAGAACCGCACAACGTCCAAAAAACATAGGTGCTGGCCTATTCTGATTAATTCCTGATCGTTTCTCACCGCCTGGGGGGAAGCGTCCTCCCTCCAACGGCAGGTTCACGAGTGCCCTGATAACAAAAGTCGTAAGGCCTGGGAACCATGATGCGTTCATGCACTTGGAACAGAGGGGCTGCCAGTCCTTCCTCCTGAACTTGGTTCGGAAAACCCGTGATACCGGGGGAAGAGAGAAGGTGAAAGGCATTACGACCACAGGCTGTGAGTAGGCATGTCCACCCAGCGGTGGATCGTCCTATGGTTCTGCGATAAT